TATTAGGGTTGTAGGACTCCATCATTAAAAATAATCAAAATCATTTTTGGTTTTAGAGAAGTTAACATAATAGCGACTTCTTAAAGATATATAGAATTAGGTTATTACCATGCTAACTTCTCTGAAACAAAGAATTTTGGTTATTTTTAATAGTGGCGTCCTACAACCCTATTATATACTTCTTTTTTGTTTATTCTTTGTAGTTTGATTTTTTTTAAAAAGTTAAAACTGTATAAATAATATAAAATTAAATAGACTTAACGTTAAACTGGTTTGCGTGATTCTGAACTGTGTTCCGATCCTAAATCCGACCATCTGAATTAAATCCAAAGAACTTAAATAACGAGCATAACGATAAGGATTTGCTCAAAGCTAACGCTAACGCTAACTTTAGATCTAATCTGATACTGATTAATCCGGATTTAATAAAATCCGGATGGCCTGTCAAAGATAGGATCGGAACACTAGTCCTAGCGTTACCAATCTAAAAAATTTAACTGGCCAATCAAATTTCAAGCCGCAAAAAATCAAAACAAACCAAAACAAACCAAAAAAAATCGCTTATAACTCAACATTTTTCTATGAAACCACCTTCTGCGCACTAACAAAAAGTTTTCCTAGCGAAAATTCATAGCAAAACCTAAAAACCTAACCTTAATCTAACAGCGAAATTCTTTTGCCGAATTTTTTAGGTTGGTAACGCTAGATCAGTTTATTCCGTGAAACGCAGAAAATCATCGCCCTGCATCAGACTTAATATATATTTATAAATTATCGTTATCGTTATTTTTGAAGTATTTACCGTTACATTTCCAGAATTTCTAGACCCACATTATAAAAGGTATGGACGACGACGAGTTGATCGCCTTATTCCAAGCAATAGGCTTGAAAGAACAACGCGCAAGGGATACCGCTAAAAATAAAAAGTTAGCATTAGCTTTACAGAACACGATCTCTGAAGCTGGTTTTACTCGGAATGGTTGCGATAAATCAATCGGCGATCTTCTTTATACACTTGCTTCTACTGTGAGTAAGGACGCATCTGCTCACTTGGGTTACCTTGCTCGAGCTATCAGTGATAACAGACTTACTAGCTCAGATCAGGTTGCCGGTAGAGTAATTGTTCGTATTTTACGCTAAATTTGTTGTAAAAGACTTTATGCATATTTTTGTTGATTTGTATTTGGACGAAAAGCTGCTATAAAATTTGCTGAAACTGCCAATGAAGAAATTAATGACGAAGAATTCAACCAAGCTTGTGGTGTTGGTAATTTAACTATCTTATTTGTCGATTTTTGCTTGTATACTGCGGAGAACAATTATTAAGTTTTTTTTTTTCCTATGATAGGTGTTGTCGTAACACCAGATCAAATAACTGCTGCAATTGCATCACATTTGGAGGCTAATAAGGATGCCCTTATTTCGGAAAGATATAAATTACTTGGACCATTACTCGCTCAGGCACGCCAGATTCCTGAATTGCGTTGGGCCAATGGTGTCGCCGTAAAAAATGAACTTGAAAAGCAAGTAATCGCAATAATCGGACCAAAGGATGAAAGAGATGTGACTGTTAAAGGAAAAGTACGTTAGTTTCTATCCCCATCACCAAAACTTCTCATTTGCCTTTTTAATATTCCTTTTTCCGATAATCATTTATCTTAGAAAAAAAGCTACCTCATGATTTTGGACTCAAGAATTTGAAAAAGGTTATTATGTTTTAATAGTAAAATTAGACCCGAATA